GATAATTGATGCTCTATTGTATACTATTTATAAAAAAATATTTTTTGCTATTTAGTAAATAATTTGAAAAAATAAAAAACTTATAATCGTAACATTTATTCTATTTAAAAATAACAAAATAGATTATATTATCTAAATTTTAAATAATAAATGTCTAAATTAAGTATCTGTATATAATTATACAATAATGGAGATGTTTCATATAATAACTATGATGATATATCATAGCTATGGCGTACCGTATTTTCTAAAATATTTTCTAAAATATAAATACATATTGCGCAATTATTTTCATATTTTAACATACTTTGAATTAATTAAAATTAATATTTTATTATAACTGCATTAAGTATCTTATTACAAATTTTATACTACATGTAAAAAAGAACAATAAGATTGCTATTGTATATTCGAATATTGGTGGAATGGAAGCGCTGTATTGTCGAAACTGGGTCAGCTTCCAAGCAGTCAGATTATAGGCATTTGCGCATGTGCTTTACAGAGCACCAACCTCACAGGTTGACAGGTTGAAGACAGAGATGGCCGAACCAATTGGCATAGCCGGAGGAGGAGGGGGTAATAGTGTGAAGAGAGGGGTGGGGTTAGAAGGGTGAGGTGGGGATAAAGGGGATGAAGGGAAAGAGGAATGGGATCCCATGATGTCCGGCATCGGGGCCGTTTATTGAACACAAAATATATACAATAAAGAACACAATTAACACAGGTTACATTAATATCCCGACAAGATTACAAAAACAAATACATAAATTCGCGTGAGGCTCCTAATTCCAGTGCCATGCTGACTGGCTAGAAAGGTACAAAAGCCCTTAAGGGGGTTGAGCGGGTAGGAGAACAGCCGCGCATGTTAGGCACCAACAACCCAGTACAAACAGGAACCGATGGGGCCGAGGGAACAGAAATTGGCCCAAACCCGCATTGGGACACCAACCTCACGGTGGAAGCTACACACAATGCTTCCAATGATTCTATCCAGGACCAGTTCTGGGCTGTTAGCTACTTGCCTGCTAGATATTTGGCCGCCCTTGCTCGATTATGTGAATCATGAGTAGATTTATAACTTAACCCAACTGACAGGAATTTACTGGTATGTTTTTATGATAGTTCTGTATAGTTGACAGGAGTTTAAAAAATCCATTAAAATATTTGATATTTTTATTCTGCTTTCCCATCTTATATTACTTACGGATTTCAATGTTAAAACAATGATATTACAATTTCATATGTCCCATCTATAAGGGGATGTAGAAGAAAATGTGTACAATGGTAGGGAGCTATTTGACTAAGTGGATTGTTTTAAGATTTAAAAAGTAAAGAAGATTTTATGTTATTTTTATGTACAGTCGACCCCCCTATAATTACGGTATAAAAATAGATCAGAACAAGAATTATGTTAAATTTCAATACAATGGGTGGCCTGTTAGTTAACAAACCAAAAGATTAAATAAAACTTGCAAAGAATGGACTTGGATGCTATGAGTTATACTTGGTGATGTCATGAGCCAACAGAGCTTATTTCCTGCTGTGTTGCTTAAATCTCAACAATTATTTACTATAATGAAAGTAAATGAACTGAAACAGTGATATCAGTTTACTCAAAAACCTTTTCGATTCCAGCAAAACACATTTAATGAAAAACGAGCAATTATGCATTTCTTATTCCTGCAATGAACCACTGCTTGGCAAATAAGTGAATGTATACATGTATGATCACAGAGTGACAAACAGTTTGGCAAATAGTTTGGTAAAAGATGAATATTTGGCATTTGGTAAATTGCAAATGTGTAGACACATCCTAATGAAAAACATGCATTAGAAGTCTGGTACAAATGCCATGCATCTGCAAAATAAAACTATTATTGTTTTATAAATTTAAATTAAATTTGTCAGTAGATGGTGGCCTAACTGCCTGCCTAAAACCAAATTACTTTATTTCTAATTACTAAATTAGCCTAGTTACAGCTCAATAAATAATCGGGAAGTTCATCGGCATTGCTTTCTTTACATAATCTACGTAAAATGTTTATATTTGCTATGTTATCTTTTTGTAGAGCACAGTTCATCAGCCAGATGAAAAATTAATAGATAACACTGTTTTGTCCCAAGAACAAAAATGTATCATCAAAATAAAATGCGCAATTTGTCAAGTTATATTAAATTTTGAAACATTTGACAATTCTTTTCGATTACGTTCCTTAATTATCAACATGTTAAAGAAATCCGTGCTATGTAATGAGAACTAACATTTTGTTTATTAAATTCTTGTAAAAACCGAATAAACCAATGTTTTCTAAAAATATATTTTTACATTTTGACAAATAATTTCCAAAAACGCTTACAGTAGTTCAGCTACAAAGTTGAAAACATCAAACTCCAGTAGCAGCCTACAAGAAAAAATCATTGAATTGGTATATTTTCATCATCTTTGGAACTTTTTTCAAAAAAGTANTGTACGTTTCTTTACAAAGTTATATTTAATTATAATTTTCTTTAAAAGTATATTCATACAATTGAATATTTTGTACCAGGTATGTATAATTGTATATCCATCACACATTTTATTTTACCAAGTGAGTTTTTATAATTTTATTTTTAATTTTAGTCCTTATATCATGGCTAGCGATTCAAAATGTAATTGTGATATAAAAAATACATATAGAGAAGTCTACAGTTTTTACTGGCTTATCGAACAAATGAATATGAATGGACCCTAGACCCCTACAACAACACTGATGCTCAATTAACTGATTTCCTCTGGAAGTCGGCTTCTTACAGAAACAGCTTCCCTATCATTAAATGTCATGGCACACCACTGTATCATAGTAATATTTGCATGATACAAATAGCAAAACAAGCAATTCATTATTTTATATATAATTATAAATACATACACACTGACACAAACAATTCACATTGATTTATATAAAAATAAATACACCAATATTTACTTTAATAAATATTAAATACAGATAATTTTCTTTTTTAATAAATTATCAAATGTTGTTCACAATTTTATGAGCTTTAACTGTTGAAATCAGTTATCTTTAAAAATAGTTTGAAAAAATCTTTTAAATACTTTTTTCTGTTTTAAACATCTAATTCAATATTTATACATTGGTATTATCAGTACTGTATTTTATATATCACTAAAATTTTATTTAAAACCTTAAAGTAATGTCAAATTTATATAACTAGATTCAAGCTTTGTACAACACAAAAAGATATAAAGATTTATCCTGCTTAAACCCAACAAACTTTAAAACTATTGCAGAGAAGGGCTTTGAAGATGAAAGATTGGAAGGTATAATTAAGCTGTCTCCATAAATCAGCAAAAATCAAGTCTATTGGAATTGTTCATTTGCTTCAAACTATGATGTGTTATAGCTGTTGCTTAATGGCAGTGGCAATATGGATTAGAGTTGTAACAAGTGTAAAATTTGTAGTACTTGACCATCATGTGCATTAAAATTCTGGCATCCAACAGACTTCACGACAAGGCATATGATAAACTTTATAAAGTCATCTGCACACTGCCTGTTACTCAAGTTCAATGTGGGAGGACATTTTCAAAACTATAGATCATAAAAAGTAGGCTAAGAAATTTGCTGTCTGAAGATAATTTGGAGTCATATATGTTACTAGCCATTAAAAAGGAATTGTTAGATGAAGAGGATTGAAACAATTATTGACCGATTTGCACATTTATCTAGTGAATTCAAATGATTGATCTTAATAGGGGACTGCATGAAATATGCTAATTCAATATTTATACATTAGTATTGAATTTAGGTGTGATTTGTGAATATACAATTCCAGTTTATGGTGAAGTTGTATTTATGAAATATGCTTTTGAACTACTTGTTATACTTTTGAACTACTTATTAATGTGTAAAATGTTTGGTACAAGCAAACTATTTAAAAATATCCACTGTTTATTTAAAATTAAAAATTCAATAATAACAATTTGTATTTACATTTGGTATCTACTGTATATTGTTGGTATGTACAGTACAATACAATATATGTATGCAGTAATTAGTAAAAAAATATATATGTTTATTTAGCAAAAATTTCAATTGTATTTTTTTCCACTTAAATAAAATTTCAAAAAATTCATATTTATTACTGTATAAAAAGTAAATGATAGCTTTTGTCTCCTGGCAACCAATATTTTTAGATCCAGTCTGCCACTGTATATCTACTTTTGCACCTTCCTGTATATTGCTAAATCAACATGCCTATACAATCTTTCAATATAATCTCCTGCCATATTGACAAGTTTCTGCCAGATATCTGGAAAATTATGTTTTTGTTGATGTATGCAAACAAGCACCCTGTTACTCAGATGATCTTGTCTCAGATATGAAAATGCTTTCCTCTGAATTCTTTCAGTTGTTAGAAGAGATCAAAATACACTCATGTCTGGGGATTATGGCAGATGTTTGAGAACCTCCCACTGCCTCCATGTTAATATATCTCTGACAGGAGAAGCAGTGAGACATTGAGCATTGTCATGCAAGACAATGGGTGGACATGTTGCAAAATGTTATAGTTTACTCTGCACAGCAGGGTGATGATGATATTTCAGGAAATATTGTAGTATGCAGCATTAACAATCTTGTTCTGAGGAAGTACAGTACATGAAACAGTATCACACCTTAGACATCATATGTTCCTATCATGAATCCCCCACGGTGTGAGAGGGAAAGGATTAAGGCTTAACCTGAAGAACAGCTTCTACTGTACTATTTTAGATGCGATTTTTTGTTTACGTTTAGTCTTCATTGAGTACTTAGGTGTATTAAATTGGTAATATTTCAGACATTGTTATAAATATTTTTATATATTTCGATTTTTTTAACCAAATGTTCAAACCATTTTAAGTTTGAATTTGTTATTGCATATTGGTTTGATTATAGAATGATTGTAAACATTCCAGAAAATTGATCAAATTGAAAATAGTTTGTTTGATTCTCAGCAATTCTCATCATTCTCAGCGGTAGGTGTTATATAACAATTACTATGGTTGTTGAAATACTGAATATAAATGGGTTTGCTTGCAAAATCTCCGCAGGAGAAGTCACAGGTAACAGCTAGTACTATATAAATTGATCAAGACAACAAAATTTTGTGCACTTGTAAGTAATTTATGCTCCAGATATTGCAAGTGATGTTTTATAGTTAGATAGCAAAGTGGACAATTTTATTGACTGTTTTATTTATGTGAAAGGTCCAGTTTAATGCCCAATCAAAGAATATATCCCAGTATTATATCCAAAGAATATATCAAGTGTTTCATTCATTTTTTACTGTATGTTTCTTATTTTGTTATTGTTAATGTACAGACAAAATGATCTGCTTAGATTTTTAGTGCAAACAAGGACTCACATTTGTTATAATTTGTAGGGTTTGTTTTCTGAACTCCAGTTAGATACATACTTGATGATTTCATTTTACAAAGATTACAGATCAACCATTGAGCATATCGCCTTCAGTTTTTACACCTTCAGAATGGAAACATATTGAGTAGTATTTCTTGTATTGCTATGATCTCTGTATAGCTTGAGTATCTTGTACAAATAGTGTTTGCTGCTTGAATGCCAAAAATGTGAGGGAGCTGAAAAGGGAGAAAATTGTTAATTCCCTATCAGAAACAATAAAGGGGCTTTTTCACATGTAGGTGGTGGTGACAGAGGCACAGATATGAAGCATATTTTACAAGAGAAAACCATTTATTTTAAACTAAGAAGGTTGCTTACATCAGTGAATGCTAAATTGTTCAGTGAGCATTAATGTTTGTTCTGAAATTTGTTTTACTTGATGTATATCTTCCAGTGAGGAGAGTTGAGATGACAGTCCTGGGGCAGTGACAAGATGTCAATCATTGGAATGAATCTCGAAAGTAGAGTTGCACGGAATAGAGAGGGGAAATCATCAGTAATTGGGAGCGATAATGATTTCACTTTGGCGACCCAGAATCACTGCATGACACAGGTTTAGAAGTACTACCTGTTTGTTGATGTTCAGACTTTGTGCACACCTGTCTTTTAAAGTTTGGAAGTTTTATATAACTCATTCCACAAAACTCTCCTCCTATGGGTTTCAAGATTTACTTGTTGTTTTTTGATTGGTTCTGTCCTGTCTCCCATTTCCAGGTGAAATAAGATTGATTTGAGTCCCAGGAAAAAGGTCTACCCAAGATGATCTCATCCAACACCTTTTTCAGATGTATGTTAGAGATGTTGTTAGAACTAGGAAACCTGCACTTGCAATTTTAGCTTATTATTCTGTTTCCTTTTGATTTAATTTAACTCCATTTATAGCATGCAAGTGCTGGTGTCAAAGTTCTGACTCTGTCTTAATACCAATCTGTAACTTAATATGTGTCTGAGTCACATTCGGGACTCGCTTGTTTCTTTACAAAAAAAAATAGTTTCTACATGTAATATTTTTCTTACATTCATTCTTTAAAACAATAATTTTTATTGCAAATTTTGTGACAGCTCAGACCCATCCAGGACCTCACAAAAGTGTTGTAGTAATAGTACTAATTTTTTTCAGAAATGTTTTATGCATGTCCTGAAATGTTGCTATGCCAGATTTTGTTGCATTTGGACTTCTAAATACTTCTCTAAAAGCATTGAATAGAGGTATTTAAATTATGGTTGCCAGTATGTTTTATTATTATTTCAAAATTGTGATAAAAATATGTTTTAACATTCAAAAATTATTTGTATAATTTAATAAGATACTATATAAAATTTAAATTTTATGGTTTAGAATAATAAATTCAAAATTGGCCAGACCCATATTAACAATGGATATGAAAAAAACTGTACAGTACCCACAGAGTAGAATAAGCCAAAAATGAAAAACAAAAATCCCTTGTGGTGTATAACTTCTGAAAATTACTGGAATGGAAATAAAATCTTTGTATAACTCATTTAACTTTGTACCCTATGTTTTCAGAGCAGTCATTGTAAGAATAACACTGGCATGCAGTTTAGAAAGTTCCATGTCAAACATTATAATACTATTTTTCTAATATACTACATTGTAGATGTAGTGAAATAATGACCTAATACATGGTCAGATTTATTGAGAGTTGCTTTGGAGAAAACACACATGAACTAGAATTCGTGCAATGTACAAAGAAATACACTCAAATTCAGAAATTCATTCTTATACAAATAATTTTCAACTTAAATAATTTTTCAATATATGTCAAGTACAAAGAACTAATTTATTGAAAGTTAAATAAAATTTGTAATGAAAACATATATATTAATGCCACAATTCACTGATTTTTTTTGTCACTGTAGTTAAACTGCCATCATAAATTTTTTTTAAACCCTTATACTCTTTTAAAGTACATTTCAAATACATAACTTGTGGGTTATATGCACAAAAATACAGTAATATTTAACAAAGTTCAAATATTTCAGAAATACTAGAGATTTTCTCATTATGATATTTTTGTCATAATTGAATGGAAAACGAATGCAGACAAGTATATGAAAGATAATATGAACAATATAAAGATCTAGTAATAAATTGATTAAATAAATGAAGTATTAGTTTATTATAAGGATGTCATTCAGAAAAATGGAACAAAATGGGCTATACTAGTGTTTATATAAAGAAGAAATATTTATTCTCAAAACTTTTATAAATTTTTGATTCAGTTGCAAATGTAAAATATCTACTGTAGTTTAAAATGTAAAAGTCAGTCATTTTTCAGTATTTCAATGTGAAAAGATTTGTATAAGAATAACTTAACTAAATAGCTAAGAGAAGAAAAACACCCATAAAACTGTATAAGAATAGTTTTTCTTAAAGGAAATTATACAGTAATTAATTTAAATAAAAACAAATGAATTCTTGAATAAAAATTAATTTTTAAAATAAAAAATTTAATATGATATTAAATTACTTCTATATTTTGAATGGTAATTAATTTCATACATTTATATGATATCTTATGAGATCACATATCATAAATTGTTACTGCAAATCTATAAAAGTCCATAAAAAATATGAAAATTATAATGGGAACTGGTAAATAACTTTACCAGTTCCCATTCATATATTTTGAACCTAATTGATTATTTTTACATTTACATTTTTAAAGATTTTAATGTTTATGTTATATTGTATTTCATCTAATTCCACTGTATTATTACTTGATTACTTTACTTCTCTACATTCTCTGTATGTAAAATATAAAATTTTTTTGTAATTGATTTAATGATTAATTATTCTAATGTATATATTATAATTTTAAATGAGGTCAGACTGATGTGGGGCATAGCCCGAAATGCATTTTTCACAAACCAAAAGGCAATAAAAGTACTTCTAATACAGTGAGTGACTTGACTCCTATGATTTGATTGAGCAAGAGTATCACAATATTTGTGTATATACCAGGGCTGTGGAGTCAGAATCAGAGTCATGGAGTTTTGGAGTTTCAGTCAAAGTTGGCGTCATCAAAAACCTCCCAATTCTGACTCCTTTTTACTTTCCCAATTTGTTATATATATAAAAACCAAAAAAGTATTTGAATCATGTCATATTTGACCCTCTAAGTGTTTTGCAAATCTATACATTTGGAGATTTCTCAAACCGAAAAATGTCAAATAAAGGGGATTCGGTTTCCCCTTTATTTGACATTTTTCCCCTTTATAACTACAACAAAGTTTCCCCTTTATAGCTACACACCAAACGAATGCCGAAAATATTTTCAGCATTCGTTTGGTGTGTAGCTATAAAGGGGAAACTTTGTGTGCACGCGTGCATGCATATGTTGGCATCTAATTTGTTTAATTTCTTTATTCTGTTCTGAAATACCTCAGAATGAGTAATGTTTAAGAAACAAAATTTGACACAGTAGCATGTGTATAAAGGGCATTAATTCTATTAAATTTTGGTTCTTAATTAAAGGTCGACAGGGTAGAGACATAACAGGTCATGTGTCATATCTCCAGTGTGGTCGGACTTAATGAATATTTTACTTGTTATTAGCATTCATAATCTTATACTCGAGATGGGTTAATAATAATAATAATAATAATAACTCTCCCATGGTCACCACCTGGTCATGGTGGGAGAGCCCAGTAATTTTACTGATCCATAGGGCAATGCAGGCTGGAGCACAAGCTCCTGGTAGGGACACCCATGCCAGTAAGGTCTATGGGGAGAAATGAAGCTAAGAGTGACCACACACCCACATTCTGTGGAGATAATCATTATGGTAGTAACCAGATCTAAGTATGATACCGGCTCGGACGTCGCCCGGGTTAACAAGGTCCGCGTTCGTGGGTTAGGCAGAGGCTCACGTTCGAAAAATAGGCTCCAGTCTCCCTTGGTTACCGGTGGCGAAAGCAGCGCCGGCCCAAGCATGGCTACTGCAATGCCCTCAACAGATGTGAGGAATCAACCTAGCCTTGGTGTTTCTGTGGCAATGCATCCACAGACCACAAAGGCTGGAAAACCACGCCAACGGATGAAATGGACAACAGAAATGAACGAGTTTATCATCCGCACTTACTACACCATCACAAGACTCGAAACAAACATGACAGCATACAGACAACAACTACACCATAGATTCACACAACAATATCCTCACCTCACTGTCACCGAACAAAGGGTTGTTGATCAAAAAAGAACAATTATACACAACAACCTTATCCCACAAACAACACTTGAACTTATCAAACAACAGGTTGCTGATCAAATACATCAACAGACAGAAACATTTAACATTAATGAAGATCACGTAACCTGTCAGGATAATCCAGCAACAAGCACTGATTACAGCACACACACAACAAGTACCACTAATGATACTGCAGGCACTTCCCCATCCATCACTGATAACATAGACATAGAATTAGTTAATACACTCTCACTTATATTTCAGGAAACACTCACTAAATATACAGGTACAGATCCCACACAAAGACCACGAATACCGAAAATCAACACGTCAAAGGTAGTAGGAAAAACACTAAATTATGTAAACACTCACTTACTACCAAACTACATTCATTCAATTTCTACACTCTCAGACATTCATACATTAGTTTATGCTGGGGCAGTCACAGTAGTAACACACCATGGACTGAAAATACACTCACAGACAGACACACACAAAACACAATTCTATCACAAGCCTGCCTGGCAGAGAAGAATAGAAACACAAATAAATGACATTAGACAGCAATTAGGCAGGCTGACACAATACACTAAAAACAACATAACACCCAAATTAAAGAAACAACTCAAAAACATTTTCAAGAAAATCAAAACACACACAAAACATGAACATCACAACACACACATTACAGAATACATCGATACACTAAAACAAAAACTCGCAGCCAAAGCACGTAGACTCAAACGATACAAAACATGTACACTACGAAAACAACAAAATAAATTATTCACAAACAATGAAAAACTTTTCTACAGACAAATCAGTACCAAAACAAACACTGATACACAGCACAGTGGCACACCAACAGAAGAAGAACTCACAACTTATTGGTCTTCTCTTTGGTCCAATGCTGTTACACACAATGCTGATGCAGGCTGGATCGAGGAGGAGAACAGAAACTTGCACAACATACCAACTATGCCCTGTGCTGAAATAAACATACACGACATTCGCTACGCTGTTAACAGAACACACAACTGGAAGACACCTGGTGTAGACAACATTCACAATTTCTGGTACAAAAAGTTTACATCACTGCACCAGGAACTAGCTAAACATCTAACACACATCATCATCAATCCACAAGACATGCCAAAATTTCTTACTCAGGGCATCACCTACATGAAACCTAAAAACAACAAAACCACAGACCCCACACAATACAGACCAATTACATGTCTTCCAACACTCTACAAATTATTGACATCCTGTATCACAAACAAAATATACAAACATGTTGAAGAACACGACATTCTTACAGAACAACAAAAAGGTTGCCGTAGAAATCACAGGGGATGCAAAGAACAGTTACTCATAGATTCAGTCATTCTACGGCAAGCACACAAACAACACAGAAACATACACATGGCATATATAGACTACAGAAAAGCATTCGACAGTGTTCCACACAGTTGGCTGCTACATATTCTACACATGTACAAAATACATCCATCACTCATTGCATTCTTCGAAAACACTATGCAGCACTGGAGAACAACACTACATCTCAGGGTTAGTAACACTTCCATACAAACAAACGAAATATTCATTAGGCGAGGAATTTTTCAAGGAGATTCCTTGAGTCCTCTCTGGTTCTGCCTAGCCCTGAATCCATTATCCAACATGTTAAACAACACGCATTATGGCTACAATATCAGACATGAAAAAACAACACAGTTTACACTGTCACATCTCATGTACATGGACGACATAAAACTTTATGCATCCACACAAAAACAACTTCATCAACTCCTACAAATCACACATTCATACACTAAGGACATACAAATGGAGTTTGGCTTAGACAAATGCAAAAAACTTCACATAGAAAAAGGAATCCTGAAGAAAGAAGATTTTGCACTTGGAAATGGAGACGTTATTGAATCCATGGAAGAGGGCGAGTTCTACAAGTATTTAGGATTCCAACAGGCC